TTATTATTATTATTATTATTATTATTATTATTATTATTATTATTATTATTATTATTATTATTATTATTATTTTCATGCATGGACGAGCCTGGAAAATTGTTTAGAAAAGTGAATAAAATTTCAACTTTATTTCCATCACAAAAGTTTTTTCACAATTTGTTAAGTCTAAATCTGCACACATAATTGGATCATAATTTGGATGATGATGTAAGTGAAATAATTTTAAAATCGCCTCCAATAATTTTAAAATCGACCTATATGCAATTTCAGAAGCTAACAAAACAATAAGATACTCGCATATTATATTCTAGATCTTAAATCTCTATACCCACCATGTCACAAACACACACATCACACACTTTGTATATTTTATGGTGGCTGATTAATTAATTGAGTTTGAGATTACTTACTATCTCGATCGTTATTCGCACACTTTGCTCATTTTTTTTTTATTTTTTTTTTTAATTTTTGGTTGCCGCTTGTTCATCAATTTATACACTTTAGCTTGCCTGCCACAAAATCTAACCTATAATTCTCTTATATGTGGCTCTTTTGTAACTAAATCTACTCTAATTCTCTTAAAAATTATTTCAATTATTCTCTCTCTACGAAAAATATGTCCAAAGGAAATTCTCTCGAAATTCAAAAACCCACGAAAAAAAGAAAAAAAAAAGAAAAAAAAAACTCAGTTGATGAAAGTGATAACACGACAACAAAGTCTAGAAAATCCCATGCCATGTTGAACTAAAATACACATCTGGAACTAAATAGATACGCAAAGTTATAATAACAAAGCTCAGAACTGCAGAGGGCAGAACGGTAAATATCCAGATTCATGCATGTTGTCCCAATCTGCCTTTTCCGTCAAACCGGAGCTAATTGTACCGAACCTGACCGTATCCACCACAGAGAAGCCGTGTAGGCCATCGGGCACATCATTATAACCATTAGTATTGTGCATGATCATCTCCTCATAAGCTGGAAAACTTATATAATTAGCTGCCCCATAATTTGGATCAAAGTTAATGTCACTATAAACATAATTTAATGTAGCTTCCAATTGAGGCACAGGCAGAATATTAGCCAGCTGGGAATTATTTGAAGCCGGCGGCTGGTCAAGCCTATCATTTTGGGTCAACATATATTGATTATTAACCGATGGCTTGGCTCTGCGGCTTTGTAAGCCGCGGCTCGGCTTATTGTTCCCAATCAACAGCTTCTTCTTAAGCTTCGTATTCCAATAGTTTTTTATGTCATTGTCCGTTCTTCCCGGTAATTGAGCTGCAATTATTGACCACCTGCCCAATCAAAAATAACGTGACCAATTGAATTAATTATATATTACATATGTGTTATATATTTATTAAATAAAAAATATAGAATATACGTGACCTGCTACCAATGCTAATATAGAGGCTGCAAATCAAGTCATCTTCATCTTGAGTAAAGCCTCCATGCTTTATGTTGGGCCTAAGATAATTTAGCCACCTCAGCCTGCAGCTCTTTCCACATCTCTTCAGACCTGATCAACACAATTAATTAAAAGCTAATTACCACAATTTTTTTGTTTAAAACAAATTAATTAAGCTATATATATGGTTGTACCTATTTTGTGAGGCAAGGCAATCCAATTGCCACCCGTGCCATGCTTTTCGATGTGGGATTTAAGCTTAGCATCTTCTTCAGGAGACCAAGGCCCCCTTTTAACCTTGGCCTTGTCACAGCAAGGAGCTCTTCCCATGTCCTTTTATTTTAATTTTTTTTTGTTTCTTCTTATTTGATGGAGTTTTGAATATTAGGTTTGGTGTGAGTTTGTTTCTATTTATATTGTTGTCCTCTGACACTTACATACCTAAGTGTTTGAAATTAACTTGTCGTGACCTTTTCGAAGAATGATTCTTTTGCTCTCGATAAAAAATGTTACACACCACCTCCCACGTGATCTGACCCTCACGCTTGTAACACTATACAGTTATTCATTTTTTTCGTACATAAATTACTTTTTACAATTTTTGTTTCACATCCATATTAAATATATTTATTTAAAAATTAAATTTACATCTATTTTACAATAAAAATTAAATTTACCTATTTATCCTATTGAAAAATAATAAAGTATCATCAGTTTTCATTGGAAGATGAATTTATCTATCCATAATAATCCACGAATATTATTGATTTCCAATACTATATGATATTAATTATAAAATATATTGTCAGTTGACAAACTTCATATATTGCATGAAATGTTGGATTAATACTGAATTATCATATTTCACAAGTGTCATTTTAAATAACCTACTAATCTAATTTTCAATCAACTATTTGAATATTTAAAATAAACTTCTATTTTTTTTGTTTTTAATCTCTTTCTTACATACAATGTGCTGTTACTGTGANTCAAAAAAAAAAAAAAAAATTATATAAATAAAAATATGATAACTCATAGTAAGAATGCAGTTTTTTTAAATATATATATATTATATAATGATTCGACCCGTCTAACCATTAAAGTGACTCATACAATAATTTGTGCTGAACAGTGTGTTTCTTAATTTTATAATCCTACTAGTTTCAAATAATGGTGACTCATACAATAATTTGTGATGAGCTATATGTTTCTTAATTTTCTAATCCTCCTAGTTTCAATTAATTTTAAGCCCCACAAACCGCAAATTAATTTCCTCATTGTGAATGTCAACTTTATTTAGATATTCAAGTTTAACTTCTATCCATTCAGCTAGAGTAATCCAACCTTGCCTTGTATAGAAAAGCAGCAAGAAAATTTGGATAAAAGGAGCTAGAGCTACTGAGATATGACCGTGATCACAATTTTTCAAAGTCAAGTAATACTTTAACTATCTGAATTATTGCGCACTCATAATTATTTTATCTTAGGGGGTGATTGTTTATGAAATAATTTGTTCAAAATGAATTATTTTGGTTAATTATAGTTAATTTTGAAAAAAGTAGTATGGTTAGTTGTTAGTGGAATTTTAAGAATGTATTATAATAATATTTAAAATAAAATGATTAAAATTAATTTGATGTAAAAGTAGGAGATAAATAATTGGAAATGATTGGAAGTTAAAATTATGTGAGTGAATGAATAGTGAATTGAAGTTGATGTGATGTGCAAGAATGATTGGTTTGTATTATTTAATTATATGAATAATATTAAAGAAAGTGAAATTGAATTAAAATTAGGTTAGATTTTGAATATAAAATAAATGAGAATGAAATAATTCATAAACAATCAAGCCCGTGGCAACTTTTGACAACCATAATTTGTTTGAACAAAGTGTCTTGTCAATTGACGTTTCACAATCATCTGTCCTGCAAAGTCTGGAGGATTATTAGGAAACTTCAAAATAGTATCACTAATTCGCCATCCGATTTTTGTTTCATTAATTTGAAAAGTTTTATAAGCTTCTCCATCGTGTAACATCTAGAGCTTGTAAAAATGTCAGATCATAATTCAAATTAGTATCGAAGTGTTTATGCAAAATAAGATACTCTGACTGCTTCTCCTAATAAATTCAGAAAAAGTTAAAAACTATTTTTAATCCTTAAACCTCCATAATATACACGAGCATTATGAAGCAAAAATACTTCACAAGGAAAAAAAAAAATAGTTCAGGATTTAAAGAGTGATCTCAACACACAAGTAAAATGCAATTTACAACTACAATCACTTGTTTCCAAAACTCCCAATCTCCTACACTGAGTTGTCTTCTCTTCACATGTCCAGAAATAAAANAAAACCTACTTAAGCTCCACAACCCAACCCATTTTGTCCTCTGTAACTCCCATTTGAAGGCTGGTAAGTGCCGAATAGAGTTGTTGGGACACACGTCCAACGCCTTCATTTCCATAACTTACCCTACATCGAACAATAGGGAATCTATGTTATCGAATTGTAGAATTAAAGCCAAACTGAATTTCACTTTTTATCACACATTACGAGAATGTATCCTCTAAAGTTCAACTTTCCACACATTACACAAATGGCTTCAAGAATATCTGATGGAACATACAAGCACAACACTCAGAATACTGACGCATTCGGGTAGATCATCTAAGAACTATTTTCAATTTTAAATCTTGCCTAAACATAATCCTTTGTCTTGTCATCACTAGAGTTAAAATATGTTCGGGAAACCTTATATATTTGGTTTCAAGAATCCTCCAACGAAAAAGGAGAAAAAAAAAATACAGGAAATTTAGTGAAAGAGTTTGTACATCATCCGAAAAGAAGAAAGGAATAAGTCGATAAACAAGAATATTCCAAATTATGCAGGGAAATATGGAAATCATACTAGACTCCTTAATCTCCCCCTTCTTGGCATCATGCCACTAATACAGCTAGTCCAAATATTTAAAATGTCACCATTTTTTTTTTTTTTTTTT